CTTTATAAAAACCACATACTAGAATTAAAAAGAAAGATGCAAGAGATTAGAAAGCTAAAAAGACACTGAAATGTGTAATCTAATCCCATCAAGCATATAACAGTCAACACAACAAAAATTAGGAGCACTGAATGTAAAAACAGACTAAAATTTGACACAACAAAACCCGAAAGAAGCTGCTATCGTCATCATCCGATACAAAATACAATACGTCTTTCAAAGCCGTACATCTTCACTCATCCATTTTCATTCAAGACCTTCAAGAATGGATAAAATTGAATAAATCCAAGCTGGCTGCATATTTACGCTTCTTCGGAACAGACACAAATTGAAGTCACCCTTTGGACCTAAAAACAGGAACCTTTCCAAATCATCTTCCCCATAAAATAACCATCTCTTTTGACAATAGGAACATAATCTTCACATTCTGGACAACTTTGATGGAAGTTGTTGTTATGGGCTTCTTCACATGAAGTCTTCTTCGAGCTCCTGTAGTGATTTGTTGGTGGATGCTATGTCCTTGTTGGATGTCATCTTATCTGCCACCATGAGATTCTTGTAGCTTCTTAACTCGGCTTGTTTCTCCTTTTCGAGCCTTTCCAATTCTTCACGCCGTTTCTGCAAGTCATTTAATGCCATTTTTTTTTTTTTTCATTTAGCGTTCTATAAAAAGGTCCAGCTTTTCCCATTTCAAGGAAAAGGAAAAGGAGATGACATAACATGACTCACTTTGTCTCTCATCAGCTGCTTCCTTTCTGCTTTCTCGGCTGCAGAAACTGCCTCCCTTTCAGCTGAACAAAAACAAGAAAGAAAAAAAAGAAAAACACACGAGTTGGATTATGATGCCTCGTGACATACTAGAAAGATCGAAAGTGACACAATAATATAAGCACCTTTTAGATCCGGATGTCTCTCAACCTTTGTCTTGTTTAGCCGGTTAACTATCTCATTTATCCGTTTTTCCACTCTCACAGTCCGAACCTAAAGCAAGAGAAAAATAAATAAACAAACTTTCAGCTGGCACGTGATCAGACGAAAAACAGCAAAGAATGCACGATAGAAACTCACTGTTTTTGACGTGTGAAAACCAACTTGCCCAACATCCATTGAGGGCGTTTTCTTCAGATTTTGCCAGGGAGTGTAAACAACATCGATGTTGTTCGCTTTGTTTCCTGGCAGATTATACAATAAAAAATAAAAAATAAAAAAAGTGAAAATAAAGATAAGAGAAGAGGAAAGAACCAAGAAATGTAGCAATGGTGAAAGAAAAGGAAAAAAATGGACACGCTTGTTAGGTGAACTGTCTTTTACTAGTATACTGCTATATTCTTCAAAAAATACGAGAAGAACTATTAGTAATATAAATAACAATAAAAACACACTTGCGATATACTTGCCTTGGATAGAATTTGCTTTGACTAGCTGGGCACAGTCTTCCAATACGCCTTCAGGTATATCATCAATGGTTTGGCCCTTCTGCAGTCTCAGATAAACATGGGCAGAAGACATTTTATCCACATGGAACCTAAAATAGCATGTCGTTAGAAAGTGCATTTCGAGAATGTAAAACGGCCATGATTATGAGATATGTCAATGGACGCAAAAGAAGAAACAATTTTATACGCACTCATCCCATCGCGCGACAATTTATCTACAATTACGAAAACTAAATTACGATTATCAAGTTAAATTACTACAGACACTGTGATTTTAGGCTTAACTCAATTCATTTCTAGTTCGAAAAAAAAAGCCAGGTCGGAATCACAATATCTGCAGATGCATTTCAGTTTGCTACTTCTATCTTTGTTGAAAATTCAAGTTTAGAATGTTAGCTCGAGAGTTAAAAACATTCCGAGTGAATATATAAATTCCTATAAGCAACCACAGTAAGAAAAACCACATCAAATCCTATTCCAAAGCCATCACACAGTGTCTCCAAAGAAAAATTCTTTCTTTCCCAGAAATTTGTAACTCAGACATACAGAGCATCGAAAATTAGAGTTTGTCATAAAGGCAGCATCTTTTTATTTATTTTCTACCCTATTCTCCTTCCGTAAACAGCATGAAAATCACACATTTGCTAACTAAGATAAAGATCAACTAGAACAAAACACCCAATTGGATATAACACCACCTGATTGAAAAATAAGAACAACTACATCAAATTCTACTCAAAAGCCATCAAAATTTAGTCACCCAAGGAATAATATTCCACTCCGGTAAGCGTTACTCAGACATACAAAGCACTGAAAGCTCTCTTCTAAGAGATTTTTTCCTATTTAGAAGAAACCACATTCGTTTGCCATAAAGGCCACATCTTTTTTATTTTCAACAGCGTGAAAATCACGCATTTGCCAATAAAACGCCTAATTGGATATAACACAACCCAATTGAAGATAATCGGAAAATTTGACCGGAAAAAAAAATGACGAGAAGTACCAGATATCTTCAGGGAAGCCGTATTTGATAAGCTCCTCGTTTTCGTACTTGTCTATTCCCATGAAGATGGTGTAGTCTCCAGCCTCGGGCCGGGCCTTGAAATAGAAAACCATCTTCTTCTTCTCCTTCTCACTTTCTCCCTCTAGGGTTTCGATTTATTTGATTTCCCCTAATTTTTATTCTCCATTTTTCTGCATATTTATAAGTGGTGTAAATGGAGAGCGTGCGTTCGCGTTTTTATTTTTTGTTTCCTTTTTTTCTTAAGACATATTAATTTTGTTTTATTATTCTTTTTTTTTTCCTTTTCTCCCCTTATATATATATATTATATATATATTATATATATATATATATATTAATTATTTGGTTAAAGATAACAATTACAAAATTTCAGGCTACATATTTAGGTAAGAAAATGTTCACTACAAAAAAAAACTGTTACATTCCAACGGAAATTTTCCGTTAGAATTTTTTATATTTCCGTTGGATAGCTATTCCAACAGATATTTCTACATATAAAAATCCGTTGGAAAAACGGCCGTTGGAATAACAAATATCCAACGAAAAATCCTATAGAAATAAATTCCTATAGTTATTTCAACGGAAATCCGTTGGAATTCCTCAACTATCCAACACTTATTCCAACATGAAATTAAGTTTGTTGGAATATTCATTGGAATTTTCAACGGAAATTTTTGCCGTTGATATTTTTCGTTGGAATTGTAGTGTTTTTTTGTAGTGGTTACGGTCCCGTTACGGAACCATTCCGTCGGATCTGTAACCGTTGGATCAACTATTCCGACGGTTATATGATAATCTAACGGTTACAAACCTCGACGAAATGGTTCCGTAACAAGACCTTAACATCTCCCATTCATTTATGTATTAGAACTAATTTACTTTGTCAAGTGTGCTAACTAATTTGTTCATCAACAAATCTTGTATTGATAAAACTTGATTGATAATTTTGATAATATTATAAGAAAATAAGTAATAAATACTGTATTTTCGATAACTCAATTTATAAACCATGTGATCATATGACATGAAAGTCCTATGGTACAATTTTCAAAGGATTGAATAATTATCAACTTTAATTTTGAATAAATTTGATCTTAGTAAAACAAAATATATATTTTAAGCCTATCTAATTATTATATTATAGTTATAGAATTTGTATTGTAACCATTAATAAACTATCAGCTCAAAACTACTTATTAACTTTCGATTAATTTATCAGTTATCAACTAATTTTTGTAAGTAAATTTAGCGGTACAATGGATCACAAATCTTTTTCATCGTAAATTGGAAGTTCATTTTTGAACCAACACAACTCATTAAAAATAAGTTGTTTCATTTTATTATT